ATCTCTCATGTGCACTGTACAATGGCTTCTAGTCAGGAGAATCCGAGCCATTACCTCCGTAACATACGGCAAACCGTACTCTGATCCCGACGCACCGGGCTAAGCAGGATGACCGATCCGAGCAAATTGACGGGCAAGGGCCTTTCTGACCGTTGCTTTCGGAGATGTAGATTCCTCAGAGGCTGTTAAAGCATCTTTCGGTTTCGCAGACGTGTCAACCATCTCAACCTTCGTTTGAAGGCGTCCTCGACCCTGGGGACAGCTGGGGGAGGGGGGCGGGAGGGGAGGGCGGGGGGGGGGAGTGCAAGGCGATCAACCGCATTGGAACCAAAACCGATTGCGAATAATTTTCCTCTTTGTGGATGCTGAGACCCCACCGCAAGCTAAGTCAGCTAGGCTCAACTCGAGGCCCTCCCTCAATATGTTGCAACAATAGGCGCCCGGCGCTCTGCCGCGATGGAGCTACAAAGCAGCGAGCTCCTGCTCAGCAGCATCACAACCATGCCCGCGACAATGCAGCAGTGGCTGCTCTTTGCGGCTACGGCTGATGCTTCTACCATCTTACCACCGACCACTGATGCCACTGACATTTAGAAGGTTTCGGGTCTACCGGCCAGTACTCTAGGCCAAGACTTGTAAAGTCAAGGCTGCATGGTCCGGGGCTTGAGGTTCCAGTATGATGCAACAGAGGCCTCCCCCCCTCAAGCCCTCGACCCTCAACCCTGAACCCCTCAACACCCCAAACCACCCCAAAACAAAATCCCTCAATTCCATAAATCCCAGAATTCCCTCAAGTCCCAGACTTCCCTCACTTCCCTAAACTCTGGGTGTGGCTTGTAGCATCGCAACTGAGTGCCGCACTTCTCTGTGAGACCGGCCCTGAGAGCCACGGCCGAGCTTGATGCCTGCTGTGAGTTTAGGGTTTAGGGTTTAGGGTTTAGGGTTTAGGGGTTAGGGTTTAGGATTTAGGGTTTAGGGCTGTTCTTTTGGGATGTTCCCCTTACACTAACAGTCCTTAACAGGATTTTGTTTGGGGTACTATGATCCCCATTAAGGACTGTTAGTGTCGTTCGTGTAAGGGCTGTTCTCTAACATTGGGTCGGGGTCCTTTGTTTGGCTAAATCTGGGACCGAAACTTAGAGAACTTCCCACTTCGGGAATTGGGCGGGGGCATTTCGGATCTTTTAAGCGTTCTTTGCGATTTGCGACATTTGGCGTTTAGGATAAGAATGTTAGGGTTCTGGGTTTATCTGGGTAGAAATGAAGCGTCGTTTAATTCATTGGAGCGGCTATCTGGAGAAATCCTGGAATCCTAACGATTTTGTAGGGTTGAGGGTTTAAGGTTGAGGGTTCGGAGTGGAGGGGCTAGCGCTGAGGGTTTGCATTTGAAGGTCTTGCGGTCGAGTTCGGGCATCTTCCTTCTGCGACTTCTTAAGGCCGTGGAAGACCGAAGCATTCCGGGATGCATTCGATGCATTCGAGACTCGCCCCCCAAGGGGCAATCCGACAAATAAACAGACTTATAAACAGACTTAAACACCCCACCCGACGCCCTGAGAAGCGAGCGTTGTCACGCTCCAGAAGATCCATCAGATTGCGGCAGTGGTCCATGGCCTGTGTCACAGCTTCTGGCAACAGCTACTGCGAGACCATTTCGCTTGGGCGAGGATGCTTCTTGTTGGTTGACAAATGACAAACGCTCCTTCTTCAAGCTAAACTGCCCCCCATCACCAGCATGGTCGGTGCCACACGGCTGTCCGCATTTCAGGGCAAAGCCGACAACCCCGTACATCCAGTTTTCCCCTACACAACAGCAACACAACCCCACATCCTAAACCCGCCAAAAACGAATCTGTACCCCCCAAGGCCTGAACTGAATTGTTCGGCCTTTCGGTCTGAGGAAGCTGAGATCCCCGCCCGGCACACTTGCTGGCGCCGGGATGTTGCAAACATCATCTGCGATAGGGCTGCCAGAAGCCTCGGGGGCTTGCAAGCTACAAGGACTTAAAGGGGTTCTGATAAAGGCTCGATCGGAGACATGAAGGTGAAACCCAGGCTAGGCAGCCGAGCAATATCACAAGATGACTGCCATAGATCACCCCAGAAAAACATCTTCCAAGCCGCACCACTTTTTTAACATTTAAAACTTAAAACATTTCTGGCCTTCCTAGCTGTAACTAAGCTGCACAATGACATCAAGGCTCGATGCAGCCCTCTGAAACCCCCGAAGCCCCTGAGCCGATCTGGGCCCCAGGCTCGTGAACGTCCGCCTGCCGCAAGGACCCCAGGGCTCTTCTTTCAGGGCTTCAGGGGGCGTAGGGTTTAGGGTTTAGGGTTTAGGGCTTTGGTTTCTTTAGGGCCTTTTCAAGGGCTTTCGGGGGCCGGGGGGGGTGGGGGGTTGGGGCTCTTCGGGGCAAGGCTCTGGGAACGTATAGGGTTCGGGGTGACAAGTTTCTACCGGTACTAAGTGGCTCCAGGGCTTCATCGGGTTCAGAAGCATGAAGTTGAAGTGCCCGAAGATGCCTAGCAGGCATCAGCTGGCCTGGACAATTTCAACAGGCCTGATGCCCAAAATCCGCAGCTCCATGGCCCCTTAACCCTTAAGAAGCCTAAGCCCTGAATCCCTTAAACCCACCACACCCGCACCTCCGTCAAGAACGGGTTGAAACGCTTGAAGTCCGTCATGCAGTCAGGGCTTAGCAGGGTCCGACCTCTGCGACACTTCTTAGATGCATTCAAAGAGTAACAGATTTCAAGGGCTCAGAGCTTCAGGCTCTTTTGTTTTGGCGTTCGGAGACTTGGCTCCTTTTGAGGCATGTTAGCCCTGTCCTCGCAGAAGGTAACAGGTAGTGTTCTTGAGCATCTCAAGTTCAAGGTACGGTTGGTGTCGCAAGATACGCTGATGGAAGTTCGATGTCTTGAGGTCTGTTCGAGCCCGAGGCTTCAACAGCATCGCCCCTAAGCCCTACACCCTTGAACACGTAAACCCTTAAACCCTTACACCCTGGTGCCCCTGAACCCTTAAACTTAAACCCTCAAAACCCTTAAGCCCTTAAACCCTGAAACCCTTCGTATTTCGGAGTCCAGCCTTTCATGATGGTCAGCCCCCATGTCTGCAGATCACTTTGAGCTTCCAAGGCACAGAGAAGCTGGAACCACATCTCCGTCTCATGGCCCGCATATCGCAGCAACCAGAAATGCCTCGGAGCCATGAATGACCTCTAAACCCTGAACCTTCTGCAACTTCCAAGGGCTGGCGGGTGCAACTAAGGGATGGGCTTGTTCAAAGCTCCTACAGTGAAGATTATAGTCCCGACTTCTTGACTCCAGGGCTCTAGCCCAAAACCCTTGACCTTACCACGCCCTGCTCAACACGCCCCCAACATTCAACAAACTTCGATACACACCTGAACTGGATCTTAAACTCCCCCCTTCAAATAAAACGACACGACTTTGATGAAACACCCCGAAATCCTTAACCCTAAACCCTAAACCCTTCATAAGTTAATTCACAAAACAGGAAAGAAACCCGACAGCCTGCACTCTGAGGCCTCTGCAGCCTTTCGGTGGGATGGTCCTTGGCTTCCTCGGAGCTGCTGCAGGCATCCACCGCGCTCAGGAGGCGCTCGATGGTCGTGCTGACCTCGGAGAGGGAATCCAGGATTTTGGGGGGTCTTCAAGGGGTCTGAGGACTTTAGGCTTGGTTAGGGCTCTTTTGAGGACTTTGGGGGTCTTCAAGGGGGCTTTGGACGTCAGTGCTTTTTTTGGGGTTCAGGATTTCAGGCTTTTCAGGGGCGTGGGAGGTTGGGGTTCTTAGGGTTCAGGATTTAGGTTCTTCGGAGCTTAGGGTTTTAGATTTAGGGTGTATGTGCTGCCAGCTCATCGGGTGTTAGCATCTAACGCGCGTGGGGTCGAGAGCTTTGCTTGAGGGCTCTGCATAAGGGCCGAGGTTGGGAATCTACGAGGTTGGTACGTCGAGGGCCTGTCTAGGGTTCGACCCAAAAAGACTCTACACAGTGAGTCCGACATATGAGGCCACCGCGAACATCTCATCTTGCTGCTTGGTCTCACAAAGACCTGGCGACCATTCCCAACAACGCCCGGCATTATCTGGCCTAAGGCTCACAAAGCCAGCAACATAATTGGGCTCGCGGTGCACCTCCCTACGTATTCCTACGTATCCGATGAACCCTAGATAACCCCACAGACTAGAGCCTAAATCCGAAACCCCTTTAAACCCCGCAAGTAAAAACCGCGGAAGGCCGAACCTGCGAAGAGGTCATTCAGCTGCGCTTTCGCTTTCTCCAAAGGCCTCCATCTCACGACACGTTCGCCGCAGGCGCGCGCAAAAAAAAAACACGGAACGGAAAGGGAAGCGTCTTCTGTTCTAGCGGGGGATTAAAAGAAAAGCGACTTGCATGACCAAAAGAAGAAGAGAACAGGCTACCACACCGGAGGTTCTCGTGTCCAGCTTCCAGGGCTTGCTGGACATATGCTTGCCCCTAAACCCTGGATCCTAAACCCTAAACCCTAAACCCTAAACCCCAAACCCTAAACCCTAAACCCTAAACCCTAAACCCTAAACCCTAAACCCTAAACCCTAAACCCTAAACCCCAACCCCGAACCCTAAACCCTTAAACCCTAAACCCTAAACCTTAAACCGCACAGCCTTAGGCTTTCGCATGAAGGGCCTCTCAGCTTGAGTTAGTAGACCATGCGGGTGGTCGGACTGCAGGTTGAGTCGGGAGCTTTACGTAGGGTTAAAGGTTGCAAGGCTCCAGGCGTTCTGCCTCAGACAAGAAGAAGCAACAGTGTGGGTTTACGAAAACAAGGGACCCCTAATTTCGGAAACCCCCATACTATAGGGGCCTGAATAATTAGAATAGGATTATGGGGTGGGGGGGGGGGGGTATTCCAATACAATTCCAAGGGGACCGTAAGGGAATATGCTTCGCAATCATTCCGACCCCTATACTCTTCGCTTCAGACCTTCACTCCTTCACTGAGCAGCTGGCTCCTTTCCACCAGCCACGATGCCATCGATGTCCATCTGAGTCAACTTGGGCATCTTCCTGTCCAATGTTCCTAAACCCTAAACCGAGCTGCTGAGCAATTCAGGAGCTTTCGGTTCAGCGATTTCGGGATCGGTTTGGGAATCGCTGTGCGTCGCATTTCCACACTAGGAAGGATCAAAGCGACCTGGTGGTCCTGGGAAACCCTCACCTCACCTGCAAACCCTAAACCCTAAACCCTAAACCCTAAACGTAAGCTGTAGACCCATCCCCCGCAATAGTCTGCCCTGCCTTTGGTTGTGCATCTTGGCATAGTTCCGCATCTCCTTGGCCAAGCGGCCCATCATGGCCTGGGCAACCTGCCACAATATGGGGGTTTATGGTTTAGGGCAAGTTTAGGGTTTAGGGTTTAGGGTTTAGGGTTTAGGGTTTAGGGTTTAGGGTTTAGGGTTTAGTTTAGGGTTTAGGGTTTAGGGGGCGCACAAGGAAGAGGCTCCTAAGGGGGTTTCCGAAAATAGGGGGGGTTACCCTTTTGTTTTTGGGGGGTCCCTTGAAGGGGATTCTATTCTATTTGGTGTATGAAAGGGGTACCTCTACTAATCCCCGTATTTTTTGCACTTCACGGCAGGTCGGGATCCCTGGGTTTCGGATATGGGCCGGGGCACAATCCCATTTCAGACCTGTGGAGCTTCGGCTTCGGGATTCGCATGCCCTCCAACCGCGAATCCAGCTTGCAGGCTGCAAAAGATGGGTCCATCCAGCATGGCAAGTGAACGGACACGAATCCCGTTGCATCCTGAACATACAAGTACATCCGAGACTTCAGGGCTTAGGGCGCGCGTTCTAGGATGGAAATCCCTGCAGGGCGCCGTCTGCTGCATGGCTGGGTGGGCATCCAGGTTGAAGGGCATGTCGGCAGCAGCCTTGCGGCGAAGATGTTAAAAAGAATGCTGTCGCTCATTGGTAGCTCTCGTATCCTTTTGTGGGGCTATCCTCGGACCCGATACGATACGCGCTGGAAGCTCCTAGGGGAACGAGCCCTGAACCGAACAAACAACATTGAGATAAACCATGTGAAAAACATTCCTAAACAAGATCCACGTAAATCATCTCAAACACAACCAAGGGAAGTATTGGATCCTATCTTGGTAACCCTCCTCAAACCGCATCTTTGCCGCATCTCAGATACCAAACACAACACCCACCTACATGCTCCTTGCAACCTCCTGAAGGCCCCAAGACATCTCTGACAACACATGTCTGACTCCGGAGCCCAAGCCCAAGCCCCCCAAACCCTGAGCTCTTGCAGAATTGAACTAAAAACCCTTTAGATGTAACCCAAAACCTAAACTCCCCCTCACCCGCCCTCCAGCCCAGTGAACATCTCTAAGTCCAGAAAGCCATCCAAAGGGCCCATATGCCTCCTCCGAGGGGCCCTCGAACCGGAGATGTCTGGCGGGCGCACATCACTCCGAGGGCTTTTGTGAGTTGGGGCGTGCAAAGTGTCGGGGTCTGCAGGGTTTGGGGTGGGTTTAGGGATGTTTAGGGTCACAGGGCTCAAGATGAGGTAGAAGAGTCTTTTTTAACTTCGCAGGGCATTCGCGTCAAGGATGCTCTGTTTTCGTCTCTCTATCTATCTATCGATATATCTAATCTATCGATCTGTCTATCTCTCTCTCTCTCGCTCATTCTATCTCTCTCTGGTGGCACTTTGACTCGTTGTCCCTCTGAAAGCCACACACGGCCCTTGAAAAGCGAGCATGGGGGCACTTGTCCACGAGGGCTCGCAGCGGGCGAGAGGCAAAAGCCTCCAAGTCCTGATCGCTGACCTTGGGCTCATCCAGAGCTTTCCGAGGTGGGTTTCCGAAATTAGGGGGGAACCTTCTTGGGGTTCCTCTTATAAGGGAATCCTACTATCTGAGGACTATGCTAGGGTTTCCTTATTTTCGTACACCTCCACATAGCCCCCCGCCCCCCCGCCCCCCCCCCAAAAGAAGCCCATGCTTTGGACCTGTAGAGCCTTGCACCTGAACCAGTCGTAAGATTTGGTGTTGGGGACTGAACCACAAACCCTCTTAGTCAAGAAGTTGCCGCAAATTCCTGAGCCTACATGCCTCCTCAACACCAGCTGGCCGCGAGCCTGACCGGCCCCCCCAAAAGGCATTGGCCCCAAGCTCGCGGCGCTGTGAAGCTTTGAGGCACTGAGAGGCCGCCAAGAGCAACCTGGCTTCAAGATTTAAAGGCTTCGGGTCCAAGCTCCTTCGCTCGGGAGTGTGCCGTGATCAAGAAGCTGCCTCTGCAAGGACACATGAAGCAAACACCCCGGCCCTCCAACCCCCAACCCCCATTCCCCTTCTGAGGCGCGCGGCCCAGGCCGACATTTACAGGCCTGCCAGGCATCCGAGGGTAGACCCAGGATCAGGAAGGATCATTCTTCAGAATGCCTTCTGAGTAAACTCACCATGACACAGTGTGGAAGCACTGCCCTCCCAACCTTACTATGGATCACAAAAGGCTTTCCAGACTTGACCCTGACAAAACGAGCGAAACATGAGATGTCACATGAGATGGACTGTTGCTTCAGGGAAGTTACTGGGGCAGGAAGACTTCGGGAATCTCTGCAATACCCTACATTGGCTGTTGAAGGTTCAAGGCAGCGCGACAAACGCAAGAAAACCCACCCACCAAAAACCCTACAAGGCCTGCCCAGCCCCCAAAACCCAGAGCCCAAAACCCTGACACCCTGAAACCCCACGACAGCCAAAAGCCAACACCAGGCCCCAATCAGCCACCAAGCCGATGAGCCCCATCCCACAACCCCCGGGCGCCTGCGCCCAAGGGCCGCCCTGGCGCCCTTGAGGTTGAAAAGGCGCTGGGGGTTCAAGCCTGCCGGGCGTCCAGGGTCCAGGATCTTAGGGATTCGGGGAGCTTCTGGATTCGGGAATTTGGGATTCGGAGCGTTCAAGGAAGTCGGAAGCCTTCTGGGCTCTAGGCCATGAAGCAGATGAGCGTTCTTGACAACGCCATCTATCAGCCGAGCTGCTGTCTGCCAAAAACTGGTACTGACCCATGTCTTGTCATCAACTCACCTCGAGGCCACTACGCGACCTGCCCCAACCCATCCGGGTGAGCGGGGGGGGTGGAGTACCTGGACATATAAATTACTTGAAACCAAAACAGCCCGAGCCTCCCAAGGAGCTGGGTGGCAGCTCCAGGTAGATGTTGGTCGTCTCGCAGTGGACCTGGGGGGTGGGGTCAGGGTCGCTAGATGCGTCCAGACTGAACCCGTTCCCTGTGTCTCGTAAGCAACGAGGTGCGCAACTTCTCAGAACTGCTCTGAGTTTCGCAAGAATAAATGCGCTGATGTCTCTCATCATCAAATATTGTGAATATTACCATCTTCTACCCGCTGCACCTCAGCATAGAACTCTAGACAACTAGACTGCCAACACCCTGAGCTCAGATCGGAAACTTTTGAACCCCAAAGCCCCGAAGCTCGAGCCCGGCAACTCCGAGCCCCAAGGCTGGCGTTGGCAGCTCCCAGAAGTCCTTCGGACACCGGCTTTCGCAACTTTCGCAGCTTTGGGGATTCAGGGCATTGGCCCGAAAGGTTTCAGGATGTGCCTGAAGAGAGGGCTTTTGCTCAAAGCAAATGCCAAGCCCCTAAACCCCACACCCTAAGCCCTAAACCCTAAACCTAAACCCTAAACCCTAACCCCTAAACCGGGGTCCTTTGGATGAGGTGGCCACCGCAGCTGCAGCCTTACAAACGAAAGGGGGATGTAGGTTTTGCTGAAGTGGTCCAGGGTATGGTTCTAGCGCTTGGGCTCTGGGTATCCGGGGCCTCTTTGTAATGAGGAGTATGAAATCAGGTATGAATGTGTAGCTTTTGTGTTTGAACTTGAGGTCTATACGGGGGCCCTCGCGGTCGCGAAACAAGTCTGCCATCCAGGGTTGCTTCCACTGGGCCCCTGGCCCGTACGCAGCATCAAGCAAGCTCTTCTGGATTTGGCTCAGCTTGGCCTAGCGAGGGTCGAGGGACCAAATCGGGCCCCAGCAATTACGGTACTTCCTGCATCAGAACACTTAGATCACTTGGTAGACTTCTACAATACGAGCTTCCAGAAGGCCCACCCGGCGAGTTGTTGGTTTGGTCGGCCTCTTAGTGGTGCGGCCTCTCCCCACCCCTCCCCCGCACATCCACAGACTGCCTGAATCCAACATGGCGAGGCCTTGGTTGACAAAACTCCCCGAACGGAGGGCTTCAAAAGGGGCCTGGTGGCTTTTCGACTGTAGGAAGGAAAAACATCGCTTTTGTCTCGGTAGCCTTTGGTGCCCTATGAAAAGAGCCAGGCTTGGGGCCTTATGGGGTCCACGGCCCAACGTGCCTTCCACTGCTTCACGAGCCGGACCTTCTTGGGCTTCGTGAGCTGTGGCATCCTTGGGAAACGGAGCATGAAGCCTCACTCCGAAATCCTGGCGCTTAAGGGTTGACCTGATGAAAGTTTCGCGTTTAGAAGGCTTCAGGTTTCGGATGCTCATGGGCTTCTGGACCGGGGCCTTTCTAAGCTTCGCAAAGTCGTGCTTCTGCATTCCCTGACACTTCAAATCATCCGAAACACCATCCTCGACGCTGGTTCGCACACCACCCTGCTAGCCCATTAGCGCGCCTGATTTCCTGCCTTAGCATGTAGCTCTCACACGGTTTCAGCTGCTGGGAGCCAAGCTGAGACGCTGTCTCAGGGTTGAGCGCCTGAGAGAAGCAGGGAGAGCAAGCATATCTTCTGTGGATAAACACGAAACCCAGGCCTGCATGCCGAAATGCCCAAACTTCAAAAACTGAACTCCAAGAACATCTGAAAAACCTGCTGTCCAGCCGCGTGTTCTGACGTAAGGCTGAACACAAGTTCTCTCCACCGCTTTTTGTATTTTAGAACCTTGGTGGGAACTGTATGAATGCTGTCTTCCTTGCTGCCTCGGCTTTCCCTCCCTCCCCTGCTCCCTGCATCCCTCGCTCATCGGTTACCCATGGTTGGAGCGTAGTCTCGCCCCACCAGGGGCTACTAACATTTCGAAACATGGGAAGTCGAGGCAGTTCAAAAGTTTATAGTCGTTGTTGGAGGTGCTGCTTCAGCCCTGGTAGCCTTTAGCCGGCCGTCCCTTGAAAGGACTTGGTCCAAAGAAGCCCACCTCAAGCTTGAATCTCCCCTGAAAGTGTCACTCGAAGGCACACAAGCACTTTCTTTTTCGCACGAGCATAGCAAAGCCGCTAGCAGCTACTCTCCTCACATACAAACAGTTTGCCAGCGCCACAAGCACCTCCAAGACACACAACAACCGACCGCCCATGCTCCAGATGCCTGAAACCCAGACTTTGTGAAGCCCTGAACTTTGACCTGTTTCCGAGATTTCTTGACTCCAAGGGCTTGGATCGGGAGTGCCCCTTAAACCGCACCATGCACTTGCACATGAAACCCCACACCCTCAACTAACCCCCAAGCGCAACCTAAACTAGCAGTAAGGCCAGAACAAGGATGTGCAAGACCGAGTTGAGGATGCCATGGTTTCGGGCCTCTTCAGCAGCCGGCAAGAACGACGGGTGGAGGAGTCAAGTTGGGCCTTTTGGGGTGCTTGTTGTTTCTTCCGTCAGCTGAAAGATGTGGGACTTCTCTTGGTGCATTGAATCTTCACGAATCTGAGAAACACTGGACGTGTTTGTTGACTTTGATCTGCTGCAGGTTCAAGGCTGAGGGAGGAAAACGTTACCTTGCATCTTAACCTGTCAATGGAAATACCTTGAGCATGTTTAGCGGGAGTCCACTATCACTATCAGCAACGTACTTGAGCCTTTTTTTATGCTGGTGCGGGGCACGTCCGCTTT